CAGCCATCTTGTATGAGGGTGTGGTGGTCAATTTGCATATTACCTCTTTATTATACAGGAGGATAATTTCTGAAAGATTTAAATACATCTCCTATAAAATCCTTCTCATGTGAACACACTAAAAAATTTTGATACAGTTCTCTAACTTTTGTGAACCCATTTCTTGTCATTTCAAAAATGCCAAAATCTGATTAATTCGTAACAACTATCATCAGAAAATGGATATTTATAAGATAAAAATCAAAAAAATATTTGCTTAGTGATTAACGCTAAAAAAGTAATGAATGCGATTTAGTAAATGCAGCATACACTGCAATTCTTCCATTAGGGAATTGTGTTTCTTTTTCAGCAATCAATCAATCAACCAATAATTAAAACAAAGTAAAAAAATCAATTTAGGATCAGATTTCTGTATCATTTTTGCATATACTATCTAAAATAATAATAAGAAAGCCTGTTTAATTACACCACTCTCACTGTAAATAAGAGTAATAAAAGACATTAAAGTACTTATTTAATGTATACATAAAATATATACACCAATTTCCTCTAAATTGACCTATAAATACAATGAAATGCTAATTTAAGTCCTAAATTAATTATCCCATGAAATTCCTAAGGAGATCCTAAAACTCATGGATGAGAGTAAAAGGCCACGAATACCTGAGACAAAGAATTCTGAAGACTAAGAAATGATTAAAACAACGTGGAACTATAAAAGATTAAACAAATGAAAGAAAAAAGAGTACTTAGAATGGACCACAGAATGACATTAGCATCATGGTAGAATAAGACTCCATCATTTTGTTCCCCCTACAACAATAATTCTGTACTATTCACAGGCAAAGTGACTCTGTGGAACTGTGGGATCCAGAACTATATGTCAAGTGAGCTGGGAGAAGTCTCACTCACCCATGTATTGGTTAATAGGAACAAAGACTTCTATCTCAGCTGTGGCCCCTGCAAATGGTCCATGCTCTGACTCTAGCCCTTCTAGGGTATGGTCTGAGAGCTCTGGAAAACACTGTTTTAGACAATCACCCGTGGATGAGAGAGCTTCTGTGGAAGTCCAGGTTTCCAGAGAAGTTACAGCACATTGTTTCAGCAGTACAATATGCAAGTTTGGAAACACTGGAGAGAAGTACTGAATAGTGAACTACATGACCTGAGAGTGGGAAGAGGCCGGCAGAGCGGCAGACAGGACTCTTGGAAGGCATATACATATATATTATACATTAAGGAACACAGATCCCACTAAGTTCAAAGCAGATTCCATCAACATACAAAAAGAACTTTTACAAGCCAAAACCGGTTTGGCTCAGTAGATAGAGTGTCAGCCTGAGAACTGAAGGGTCCCAGGTTCGATTCCAGTCAAGGGCATGTACATTAGTTGTGGGCACATCCCTGCTAGGGTGTGTGCAGGGGGTGGCTGGTCGATGTTTCTCTTTCATCAACGTTTCTAGCTCTCTATCCCTATCCCTTCCTCTCTGTGGAAAATTAATTAAAAAAATTTTTTTAAAAAGAACTTTTACAAAATGATAAAAGAACTCAAAATGGTTAAAGGATTTAAAATGGCAATTCACATAGGAAGAAACTCAAATGGTCAATAAACATAGGAAAGATATGCAACACCACTTGTATTCAGAGAAAGGCCCATTAAAACAGAGAAAACCAATTTCACAGCTATCAAACTGAAAATTATTAAGTATGACAAAACTAGAACTTAGTAAGAATGTAGTAAAAAAGAACTCTTTCAAAAGTGGAAGTATAAACTGGCACAGGCACTTTGGAAATCAATTTGGCAATAACTTCTCATGTTGAAAAAGAATATCATAAATTCCATTTGAGTATCTACCTTAGAAAAATTCCTATTTATGTGAAGGGGAAACAAGTGGAAATACATTCACTGACACAATGTTCGTAATAATGAAAAAGTAAAAGAAATTTTCAGTGTCCCTTAGTAAAGAGTGCTAGAATACAGTAGTTCCCCCTTTATCCCCGGGAGATGATTCCAAGACCTATAATGGATGCCTGAAACTATGAATAATACTGAACTCTACATATACTATGTTTTTGCTTATACATAGGAACCTGTGATGAAGTTTAATTTATAAGTTAGTATAGTTAAAGATTAATAACAATAATAAGATAGTTATAACAATATACTGTAATAAGTTATGTGAATATGGTCTCTCTCTCATGCTTTCAAAATATCGTATTGTACTGTATTCACCCATGTTGTGATGAGAAGATAAAAGGACTTATATTGAGAACTTCACCTTTTTACTTAAAGGAAAAACTTTAAGGCTTCATTTTGACATATCTAAATTGTGCTTTTGAGGTATCCTTAAGTAAAATAAGGGTTACTTTAAAACAAGCACTAAAGTTTTCACCTTGACAGCTGATCTGATAACCAAGATGGCAGCTACTAGTAAGTGATTAAAACTAGGCAGGTAGCTTACATTCATAAATATGCTGGACAAAGGAATGATTCATGCCCCAAGTGGGATCCAATGAGACAGTGCGAGATTTCATCATACTGTTCAGAACACTGTACAATTTAAACTTAAATTTTTTATTTTTTGAATTTTTCATTTAGTATTTTTGGACAGTGGTTGATCACAGGTAACTGAAACTACATAAAGCAAAGCCACAGATAAGGGGGTACTCAGTCTGTACTATAAAGTAGTGAAACTGATTAAGCTAGGTCTTTATTAACAACTAGAGGCCCGGTGCACAAATTTGTGCACCTGGCCTGCGGGATTAAGCTGAAACCAGCTCTCCAACATCCCCAAGAGGTCCCAGATTGTGAGAGGGTGCAGGCCAGACCGGGGGATCCCACCAGTGCATGATCGGGGCCAGGGAGAAACACAAGAGGTTGGCAAGCCAGGGAGGGACCTCAGGAGGGCTCCAGGGTGTATCTGGCCTCGTCTCGCTCAGTCCAAATCAGCCAGACCCCAACAGCAAGCTAACCTAACAGTTGGAGTGTCTGTCCCCTGGTGGCCAGTGCACATCATAGTGAGTGGTTGAGTGTCCTTAGTATATAATTAGCATATTACACTTTGATTGACTGAATGGACACTTAGCATATCAGGTTTTTATTATTCAGAATGATACATCACAACAGTGATATAGGTTTTTTTTTTTTTAATAAAAGCAACCTGCAAAAGGATATGTAATGTAGAATACAGGTATATAAATTTTAAGCATACATTACAATAGCATATTTTGTTTATAAATATTTATAGAAATGTATAAGGATGTTCATGAGAATGATTCACAGCACTTCAAGAGAGGTTTCCCTGGGGGAGACAAGGGGAAGAACACATTGAGCAACTTGTAGTAACTATAGCAAAATGGTAACAACTGCTTAATCTGACAGTTATTCTTCTCTACAGGACTAAAATGTTTCAAAATTTAAGTAAATGTTTTTAAAGGTAGAAATTATAGACTTCATACTTAGATACTTTTTAAGAAATAGTGTAGTTAGAAAGGAATGTGAGGGATTAAAAAGAAAAAGTTGTGTGCTGTTATTTTTCTTTTTAAAATAAGAGATGCTATAATATATTTGCTGATGGAAATGACGCATTAGGTATGGTTAGAGAGATTAATGATAAAGGCAATAACAAAAGAAACAAAGTCTTAAAAGAAAAAATGAATGTAGAGCAGTATAACTTGTTTGTTAAATACAATTGGCACAATGTGCTTTGATTTTTTTGATACATAACATTCAAGAAAGTAGGGTGACATCAGTAGACTAAGGACTTCCAAAAGTTTTCCTCTCCATAAAAGTAACTAAAAATCTGGCAAAAACTTTCAAGAGTCAACTTTTTCAAAACTCTGAAAACAAAAGCTTTCAGCAATCCAAAGAGCAACAGAGAACTTGGTGCTATTTTAACATATCATGATCCTATCTTCTGTTGCCCATCTACCTTAAAAAAATAAATTTGTGTTATGGTACTGAAGTGAGCAAAATAGGGATGGAGTTCTTTCAAAGCTTCATTCACAAAGAACAGTCATTATCTGACCTGTCTGGTTGTCTGCTTGAAAGACTTACCAATTAAATCTCATTCGAACTCATTAAAAGCTTCTCCCTGGGGTTGTGCACATCAAATGTTTTAACATCGTAGTTGTTTGAGATGATGGGTAGTAGTTGGAACAAACAACAGATAAATCAAAAAGCTTAAAAACAAGACCTAAGGAAAGAGATATCCATAGAGGCTTTAAAAAAGCTTGAACATATTCTTGGGAATCTAAAAGACCATGCACATTAGCTGTGATAGCCCCAAGCTTTATCTCTGATTGACCTTGAAGTTATATGTAAGCAGCAAGTGAAGGCTAAGTCAGAGTTGTCAGCTGCCTAGCTGAGTGCTCAGTGTCCCAACACACACAAAGAATCCCCTGACAAAGATCAAGACATAACGATTCTGAGGAATTAAGAAGTACGCCCCATCTTTACCTGACCATGAACTGATGGGGACTTCAGTGACCACACAAAACAAAGATACAGACTTTATAGAATGGTTCAGAAATGTCACAAATAACAAACCCTGAAAGGTCCTGATATCCAGAACTGTCACATTACATTATTTGACAAGTTTTCAACAAAAAATTATAAGACCTCGGGGGTAGGAATGATGGGGGCAGGAGGGGGGTGTCAATCGGGAATAAAGGAGATTTATGTAATACTTTAAAAAATTTAAAAAATATATAAAACCTCCAAAGAAACAAGAAAGTATAATTTATACGGGGGGAGTGGAGGTGGTTGTGGCAAGTAATAGAAACTATCCTTGAGGAATTCCATACACTGAACTTACTAGACAAAGATTTTAAATCAGCTATCTTAAATTTGTAAAAAGAACTAAAGAAAATCATGTCTAAAGAGCCAAAATCTGAAAACGATGTCTCACCAACTGGAGAATATCAATAAAGACAAAGAAATATGTGTTCATATTTCACTTAAAATATATATATCAAAGAAAACTACAACAGAAACTTACTGTGTAGCTTTGACTATATCCCATGTGCTATAATCATCAATATGAGTTTTCCGTCCAAGAGGTTCACCATATCCATGGTTATAATGGCTTTGGGGTTTAATTTCCTGTTAAAGAGAAAATCACAGAGGCAAGAATTGAGAAAAGGTACAGGAAACATTTCAATATTTCTCTACTGATTTACATTATTTGAAGAATGCTCATTATTGAAATTATTAAGTTTTACCTTTTTCTGAGGTCTGTACTCTTTAGAGAAAAACCCTTGGTACACACTCCCAAAAGATGCAAAGACCAAAAATTAGTGACAAATTAGTAAGTGAAATGTATCTTTAGTTCCATAAAACTCTTTTATCTCTTCATCAAATCAACTCTTATTCTCTTAGGCCAGTTTTTCTATTATTCTAACATTATCCCTAGGTCTAACACCTTACTCTAAAACCTTCATTACATGGCAAATAAACTCTGAAGTCCTAAAGATAAAAACTTAAGAATATTATTCTTCTCCTATTCTCAGATATTATATTTCCTTATACTCATTCATGCAGAGGACTTATTAAGCATCTACAATTAGATGCATAAGGAACAATGGCACAGCTCTGATAAAATGTAAACCCACTAAAGTAACTTTTTATATAAAAATTCAATTAAACAATTTTTGTATAATATTACTAGTATATCCATCAAAGCTTATATGCTATGTGTAATTTTTTATTTAAAATACAAAATTTGTTATGCATAATCAGCTTCCTCAATATAATGTAGCACTGAGATACAATTATTTTTTTGAGATACAATTATATTTCTTTATATGCAAACAGAAAAATTGACCATATTTAATTCTAATATCACTCATTCAAATTTCTATTATTCTGATATCTCTTTTTCTTTCTTTCTCTCTCCCTCTCTTTTTCTCTCTCTCTTTCTCTCTCTCTCTCTCTCTCTCTCTCACACACACACACACACACACACACACACACACTAAATTGTAAACAAAAGAATCTCGATTCAAATAATTACAGGCTTTTGTTATTCCTTGTGATTAAGCCCCTATCCCAGTGGTCAGAAAACTCAGTCAATGGAGCGAAAAACTGTGGAGGCTTGCGAGCCACAGTTTGCCGACCACTGGATAGGGCATAACAAGGTATCTGGAAAGAATGAAATACTTAAAAGAATTCATGCTCTCTTGGCCAATGATATTTAATAATCCAAATTGAATGGCATTTTATTTTTTATTTATTTATTTTTAAAGTATCTTTTTTAAAATATATTTTATTGATTTTACACAGAGAGAAATTGAGAGGGAAAGAGAGTTAGAAATGTTGATGAGAGAGAAACATCAACCAGCTGCCTCCTGCACACTCCCCACTGGGGATGTGCCCGCAACCAAGGTTCATGCCCTTGACCGCAATCGAACCCAGGACCCTTCAGTCCGCAGTCTGACGCTCTATCCACTGATGAATGGCATTTTATTGAAGGAAAAAGGCCATTATCTTTAAATTACTGTCACCATTCAATTTGGGAAATTTCTAAATTAATGTGTTTGAACCATAAATTTAGAAGAATGTCAATTTGAATATTTTCAAGGAAAATTAAAAAGTTTCATAAAAGCAAATTCTAGATGTTTCAACAGATTAGTTCCTTATGAAAATGTTACAGCCAATATTAAAATGCCACAGTAATAATCATTAATCTACATTAGCAGATGAAAGAAAATAAACATGTCTTAAATCAAGATTCACAACATGCATAATGCATATAGTTTACTAAGTGATTTTTTTTGTAGACTGTTCTTAGACTTCATTAAAATAGAACTGGTTAAATTTGAATATGGACAGATATAGCATTTTGGGTATGTGCAACATTCTGAATAACTGATGAAACAAACCAATATACAAGACTTAACCATTTAATATTTTTAAATCTTTTCTGTTTAATTTTCCCACTGAATTACAGTTATCAACTTCTCTATGCTCTATATTCAGTGGAGTGAAGTCAAGAAACTTCTTAGACCAATAACACTTCTTTCTTTCTTTCTAAGTCTTCTGTTCTAATTTTTATTCTCCCCTACGACCAGGAAAATAATTTTTTAAACTTTTGATTCTGACTTCTGTAGGGATGAAACACAACTGAAGAAAAATAAAAACTGGTAGTGCCTGGATGGTGTTGATCAGTGGTTGGGTGTCAACCTGTAAACCAGGAAGTCATGGCCAATTCTTGGTCAGGGCACATGCCGGGTTGCAGGTTCAGTCCCCAGTAGGGAGAGTGCAGGAGGCAGCTGATCGATGATTCTCGCTCATCATTGATGTTTTTTATTTCTCTCCCTCTCCCTTCCTCTCTGAAATCAATAAAAATATATATATTTTTAAAACTGATAGTAGTTTACAAGCAAAATGGAATAATGCTGTATATCCAAAAAGACATGTATTGAGAGCCTACTATATGTAAAGTACTCTCCAATGTACTGGGACCTCAGGCCAGAATTAAGTGTAAGGCCAGCTCAAAATTTAAGAGAGTGGCAAAACACTCAGTAAGCACAATTTAAAATATTTTAATGGATTATCTTTTAAAAATAAAAAATGCAAAAAAATCCCAAACATCAGCATTTTAAACATAGGCACATCAATACTGCTAATTTTTCTATTTGCACCAGGTTCCACAATGGCTCAGAGAAGCACTACAAACATACACCAAACACAGCCTATTGTCTTCAAGGACTTTACAGTCGAGAGTGGAAGGACAAACTAAGAAATATAGGTCAAATAGTACTGGTAGAAGCAAAAACCTTCCAATAATAAGTTAAAACCTAAATAAAGACATTACATCCAAAAATTAATAACTTTAAAAACTATTTCAATTTGAAAATCTTTTAGGGCAAACTGCTATTCTTTTTTACTAATGACAAATATACTGCTTTACAGGCATGTAACAAATATTCATAAAACAAAAAGCAAATTTCTACTTAAGGCTTACTATTATAATGTTTTCATTCTCTTTAAGGTCATTTTTATCCCCAGAGACCTATTCTCAGTTTCTCTATAGTCTCTCTAATCTCACTGACATTGTCAAATATGATCTTCCAAAAGCACCAAAAATCACTATTTTTCTAGTAATAGTTTTATATTAAACCTACACAGATATCTGTGTTATCCCATCTGAAAGGTTTTATTTTATTATTTTTACTCTTTAGTAAAAGAAATGATTTTTTTTTTAAAAAGATGGCTTAAAAAAATATCCCTAGATTAATTCTAGCAAGGTACAGTCATTCCCATAAAAAAAAAAAAAAAAAATAAGAAAAATGGTGTTTAAGCAAATCTCCTGTCTTATTACCCTCTATTATTATAAAGAACTTAAGTATATTTTTCTCACTTTTACACAGACTGGAAACTGGTTCATCTCTAGAAACTGGTTCATCTCTAGTACCCTATCAATATGACAAATACCAACACTGTCTATCAAGATAACCATTATCACTAGTCCTAGATATAACAACCATAGTTTTTAAACTTTGAAAACATAAAATAAAAATACTATGTTCATATAAATAAGTACATCTTGTAAATATAGAAAATATTAATTTTTAATTACCAATTTGCTATTATCAGATACAATTCAACATACAAATATTTTTTAAATATATATATATTTTTTATTGAATATTTTACAGAGAGGAAGGGAGAGGGACAGAGTAAAAGTTAGAAACATCAATGAGAGAGAAACATTGATCAGCCACCTCCTGCACACACTCTACTGGAGATGTGCCCGCAACCACAGCACATGCCCTTGACCAGAATTGAACCCGCAGGCTGACGCTCTATCCACTGAGCCAAACCAATCTCGGTATCAACAAACAAATATTTAATGACACTTTAAAATCCTGTAATTTTTCCTTGGCTTTATTAGGAACCAAGAAGCAATTTAATTGATAGCTCTGGCAAGAAAATACTTATTTTAAAATACATATGTACGTCACTGTACCTTTTAAAAATGCATTAATTCCATGAGAAACAGCTTGGTGTAACAGAAAAAGTCCTTGAGTAGAAGGCTATTGAATTGAATATCTGCCACTCTCTAATCTAGGCTACAACCCAGCAAGAATTTAGGCCCCTTATTTGTAAAAAGAGGAGGATGAATGAGATCTTCATAGAGTTCCTCTGAGTTGTTTCAAGGACAAATATCAGGACATTAAAGAACTAAAAATCTTCAAACCCCACCCAATTCATTTCCTTCTTAAACTATAATTTATCCTGTTTTTAGATTTCTTTAATTAAAAAGAAAAGATTCAGCTGCTCTTAAAAAAAAAAAAAAAAAAAAAAACAATTTAAACTACTAGATTTAAAGTCCTCCAAAATCTCTTCTAAGGCTAACATACAATGATTTTATACACTGGAGTATATAAAATTTAGCCACTAGGAGAACACAGCCCTGGTACCTGTTGAAGAGAATTGGAAGGTGAAAAAGATCCTCCAAAATCTACTGCTGAAATAGAGAGGAATAAGAAGAGCTGTGAAAAGCTCAGCTACTATACACTTCTACTAAGAAATCAACATGTTAGAACTCAAATTTATATAAGCAGGTACAGACAAATGCTGACTTACATATCAAGGGGATATAGATACCAAATGTCTGTGACCAAAGAATCCTCTATTGGCCCAGTGCTTCTAAGTTTATTACCAACCAAGAATAGGTTCTATGGTATCAGCAATTACAATTTATTAGAAAGCAAACTAATATAAAAGTAGGGGCATTGGTTATAAACAGTCAGAGCAATAGAATAGAGCTTGAAAAGTGAGAATCAGAATCGGGAGGAAAAGACATTCAATAAATGGTATAAAAAGGACAACTGGCTGGCCATTTGGGATTTTTTTTTTAATTTAATTTTAATTTAATTTTTTAATTCATTTCTAAGTTCTAACTAAAACCAATGGGCCAAATGTGAGGCCATCAGGTTTCAATATAAAAGGGTAATATGCTTGATGGAAAGATACCAAAAAATATAGCCACAACTATAGTTTCTTTAATAGCAGGTGATACTGAAATGAGCCTGAGAATAACAAGGTCAAAGCAGGATTCAGGGCAGCAGGCTCCCAGGTAGAGAGGCTTTGCCATG